ACACACACACACACACACACACACACACACACACACACACACACACACACACACACACACACACACACACCTTGGGGCATGCTGATCTTCTCGCCGTTCTTGCTCTTGAGCTTGTGCTTCTTGAACGTGCCCTTCCTCTTCTTGACGTTGGGCTTCTCCTGGTTCTGGTTCAGGTGGAGGATGAGGAGGCTGAGCTCGCGCTCGAACACGTCCTGCTCCCACTGGGCCAGCTGCTGCTCGCGCTGCCGCAGGAACTCCTCATGGGACTTCTGCTCCAGGGCGGCCCGCTTCAGCTCCTCCTCGCGGCACCGCAGCTCCTGGCAGAGGAGGAAAAGGAGAGTTATTCACTAAACGACTATGTTTTATATTACAAGTTAACTTTTTTCCCCTTACCTAAGGGGTCGACAGCGCTTGGGGCGTGCGGTGCCAATCTACCTGTAAGCATGTAGCGGTTGCTGATTGGCCCTGGATGACATCATTTATAAGCAGATAAATACATTCAGCGCGAGCTGAAAACAAGAGAATTTATAGGGATATTTTTCCAGATGACGTTGAAGGACCAGGACGAGCTAAAAAAATCTTGAGTGGGATTTTAAGGCAGTGAAGGAGCACAATCGCTGTAGTGGCTGAAACTGGCAGGACTGGAGCTTGTTTGGGTGGATTGGAGTCAAACTACAGCTGCCATCCTGGCTGCTGCTAACTGTAGACACTAACTTCAGAGACACTTCATGCATTTTGGAAGATATAAAACCTATTTTGAGAGACACAGATCTTGCTTTTGACATTGTTCTTTTTCTTTATTAAGTTTGTACCGATGTATCTTTTGTGCATGCATTGCTAACTAGTTAGCGGCTAGCTTGCTAGCGACTAGACAGCTAGTTAGCAAACCAGGGCTAAAGACACAGACACACTGCTCTACATTTATTGTATTTAGTTATTATTATTATTATTATTATTATCCAAATTTGAAGCTAATCTAATTGTTTACTCACATTCCTAAGCATAAAGTGTGCAGTAACTAAGTACATTTATAAGGAAATCATTTGTGTTTTTTGCTACATCTTTATCAACAGTTTGCTGTAGCAAGGTTTGAGTATTATTTACAGTTAAACCAGAATTACTTACAGCTTTATCACTACTGTTAGATTTTCTAAATTAAAATAAAGATCTGCTGACTCACATCTATTCTGGGCATAAAAGAGAAGTCACTGCAAGCTAATTTGATAAGAAACTTATAACTGATGATTGGTTATTTCAAAAGACTGAATGAGCAACGATCAACAGCAGCTTCAGTGCCTCATTAGTTGTACCGCCCACTTTTAAAAGACGTTACCGCCTACTTTGTCCACAGAGCGGGTATACAAGTAAAAGTGGCAAATCAACTACACCTGATAAGAACCGAGAAGCGAGTGGAGCCGCACTAAGCAATGGAAAAAAGCCTAATGCTAGCTGAAACTTAGCCCCGCCCCTTACTTTCTCTTTGGCCCGGAGTTCATCAAACATGTCCTGGATCTCCAGCTTCCAGTCCTCCTGCAGGGAGTGGAAGGAGTCCTGAGGCATCTCATCCTTCACCTGCTGCTCCAGGGCGCTCAGCTGGGCCAGGATGGAGTCAAAGTTGGGTCTTCGATGGGGGTCCTGGTCCCAGCATTCTGTCAGAAATACAGCAAGCTTAGTCAAACAACACGATGGGAAACCAGAACATGGAAAATACTGATAATCAGCAGCATTAAGACAGATTTGGTCTTTAAAGGGGGTGGGGGGTATTATGTAATTTCCAGGCACATAATTAAATTCTATACAACTATGTTACCTTCAGTTGTTATGAAAATACTGTATAAATCAAAACACCTTGAAATTAGCCTCCTGCCATTTCCGACACTCCCACTTCAGTGCACAACAATGCTTCATGCCTTTTACAACTTTACGTGGAAGCCATAGGCTTCAAAAGTACCTGGCAGCCAGCTATTTTCCCCGTGTAAAATCTAAATGTGGAGGGATTTTCATTGATTTTTCAGTTGGAAAGACTGTAATGAAGCTAGTGCAACTTCCATGAACTGAGGGTGCACAGAGAGGAACAGCCTTTTTCCCACCTGGACTTAAAAAGAAAAAGGTTGAGACTCCTTCTTTCCCAGTTCTGCTGCACCCTGTGGTGTGGTGGGTCTGGAGACCACTGGCTGACATCTTGGCCCTTCCATTATATATATATA